CGGCCGGGAGATGCAGGGGCGGGGCCGTCAGGTGCAGCGGCGGGTCTCTGGGTGCAGCGGCGGGCCGTAGGGTGCAGCGGCGGGCCGGCAGGTGCAGCGGCTGGGCCGTCAGGTGAAGCGGCGGGCCGCTGGGTGCAGCGGCGGGCCGTAGGGTGCAGCGGCGGGCCGGCAGGCGCAGCGGCGGGGCCGTCAGGTGAGGCGGCGGGCCGTAGGGTGCAGCGGCGGGCCGTAGGGTGCAGCGGCGGGCCGGCAGGTGCAGCGGCGGGGCCGTCAGGTGCAGCAGCGGGCCGGCAGGGCCGCGTCAGAGCAGGCGGCGGGGCCGCGACAGTGGAGGCGGCGGGGCCGCGTCAAGCAGGCGGCGGGGCCGCGACAGTGGAGGCGGCGGGGCCGCGTCAAGCAGGCGGCGGGGCCGCGACGTAGCGGGCGGCAGGGCCGCGTCAGAGCCGGCGGCGGGGCCGCGTCAGTGGAGGCGGCGGGGCCGCGTCAAGCAGGCGGCGGGGCCGCGATCAGGAGGGGGCAGCGGGGCCGCGAGGGAAATGGCGACCCGAGGGGTCGCTAAAAAAAAATGCGCGCCTCGGGGCGCGCTTCGGTGGGCCCTAAAAAAACGGTCCTTAGGAAGGACCCGCTCTATACCATGTGAAACAAGTAAACAGGAATGAAATGACTAAGGAAAGATTGGGTACAAATACAACCCTAGAAACCCTGTACCCCATATGTGCTACCCCACTATAGCCTACAGCAACTATGTCATATAAATCTGACACTGCGTCCTTCCACTGCTCCTCTGCGTGTCCCGTTACCGTCTCCTCCAGAGTCCTCTCTTCCTACTCTTGCTGACCCGGAGTCTGACTCTCTTCGTGCTGCTAGTCCTTCTGTCACGCGTCTTCTGGCTACTGTTGTCACTGACCCTTCCTTTGAGTCCACTGCTGCGTCTGCCCTAGTTGCTGAGCTTGTCGACTTCGCTGCTCGTTGTCGTCTAGACTACGCTGCTTGTCTCGTTGCTGAGTCTAAGTCTGTCTGTCCTCCGTCCGTCGGGGGTGAGTGTGCTCTTAGCACAGACGTCCTTGAGGACAGGCAGGAGGAGTTCCAATGCTTTGCTGCTGCTTTGCCCCATCTCGTGTCCACGCTGATTGCCCCTGAGGGAGACCCGGATGCACCAGACATCCCGACTCCTCGATCGTACGCTGAGGCGATCGAGGGTCCCTACTCCTCTCAGTGGCAGTCGGCCATGGACGAAGCGATGGCTTCCTGGAAGTCCACAGGCACCTACGTTGACGAGGTTCCCCCACCTGGGGCGAACATCGTCAGTGGCATGTGGATCTTCAGGGTGAAGCGGCCGCCGGGTTCTCCGCCTGTCTTCAAGGCGCGTTACGTGGCTCGAGGCTCCAGACAGTCGCAGGGAGTTGACTACTTTCATACCTTCTCTCCCACCCCGAAGATGACCACTCTTCGGGTGCTGCTACACATAGCTGCTCAGCGCGACTACGAGCTTCACTCTCTTGACTTCAGCACAGCTTTCCTGCAGGGCAGCCTGCACGAGGAGATCTGGCTGCGCCGTCCACCTAACTTCAGTGGGTCGTTTCCTCCTGGTACCCAGTGGAGCCTCCGGCGGCCAGTCTACGGTCTCCGCCAGGCGCCCCGTGAGTGGCACGACACACTGAGGACTACACTTGCGGCTCTTGGGTTTGCTCCTTCTACAGCCGACCCGTCGTTGTTTCTGCGCACCGACAACTCTTTGTCGCCGTTCTACATCCTCGTGTACGTCGACGACTTGGTCTTTGCCACTGCTGACACTGCTGGACTCGCCCACGTGAAGTCCGAGCTGCAGAAGAGACACACGTGCACAGACCTGGGTGAACTGCGCAGCTACCTTGGCTTGCAGATCACCCGGGACAGAGCACAGCGCACCATTACCCTGACTCAGTCACACATGGTGCAGCAGGTCCTTCAGCGCTTCGGCTTCACGTACTCCTCGCCTCAGGCCACTCCTCTGTCTACTCGCCACTCGCTCTCAGCTCTGCCTTCGGATGAGTCCATAGAGCCGAGTGGCCCGTACCCAGAGCTTGTTGGCTGCCTCATGTACCTGATGACCTGCACACGACCTGACCTTGCATACCCTCTTAGCATCTTGGCACGCTATGTTGCTCCTGGGAGACACCGACCAGAGCACATGGCTGCAGCGAAGAGGGTGTTGCGCTACGTGTGCAGTACGTCGGGCATGGGGCTAGTGCTTCGAGGGCGGCGTCGAGTGGTCCTCACAGGTCACGCAGACTCTTCTTGGGCTGACGACCAGGCTTTGCAGTGGTCGTCACAGGGTTACACCTTCAGCCTTGGCTCCGGCTCTGTTTCGTGGCTGTCTACCCGCTCGTCTTCTGTTCTCAGCTCCAGCTGTGAGGCTGAGATCTACGCAGGGGCCATGGCTACACAGGAGCTACGCTGGCTCACCTACCTGCTGACTGACCTAGGAGAACCGCCTCGTTCTCCTCCAGTTCTTTACGTAGACAACAAGGCCATGCTGGCCTTGTGTCGGGAGCACAGACTGGAGCACAGAACGAAGCACATTGCTCTCCGCTACTTCCTGGCTCGTGAGCTACAGCAACGTGGTCAGCTGCGCCTCACCTACGTGGCCTCTGAGGCCAACACTGCTGATATCTTCACCAAGGCCCTTCCGCCTTGTGATCATCAGCGCTTCTGTACTGTGCTAGGTCTTGTGCCTACTTGGCCTCACTTGCTCACTTCTTGACCTTGCTTGTACTGTCCTCTTTCTATACCTGCACTTGCTTGTTTACCTTTATATATATGATCTTGCATGTGAACTGGCCTTGTGGCCTTGCTCTTGTGCTCGGACTGTGTGGTGACGTTGTGATCCACCCTGAGCTTGCTTTGCTTTGCTTGACTGGTCTTGTGACCCCTTGTTCTCCCCCACTCTGCCTATGGGGGTGTGTCAGGCATATCTGCTATAGTCTGTGTAGGCTGTAGTGGGGCAGTTTATATGGGGTACAACACTTTAGGGTTTGCTACTTGTACTCCCCTTTCTGCTTAATGCATTCCTTCTCGTTTCTCATCAACAGCTGGGCCCGTGGGCCCTTCCTCTTGCGACGGTGGCTCGTAGGCGCGTGGCGACGTCACGATGACTCGCCACCAGTCCATGGCGGGGCCCCTTAGCAGCGAAACGGCATACCGAATCTTCGCTGCGTCCGACTCGACGTAATTCGCGTCGAAGAAGATGTTCATCGTTAAGACCCAAGATTGAACCGTCGGACCTCCACGCTGGCTCGGGTCGAAGCAGGGCGGGCGTTGCGGCTTGAGTGGCATTGGTGCCATAATGGCCTGTTCGCCACTTGTCGCCGCGAACTCCACGTGCCGACGGGCTGCACGAGGCTCCCGCGGGCTTGGTGCGACCCTGTTTCCTCCCATGCCAGGCATCGGCTGGGCGGCGCCATCGCTGGCTGCGCCTGAGCGCTGTCCCACGCTGTTGTTTTGTGTTGGTGTGCCGGATGAGATGACGATCGGCTCGTCTGATTGTGCATATGCATTTGTCGGTGCGTGTGGTGGTGCTGGAGTGTTCATCGTTGTTTGCTGACGCGCGGAGTCACGTTCCGCCGTGAGCGTCGCAGTTTCGAGCGCCGAATCTTCAAGTTCGCGCACCAGACGGTCGAGCTGCTCCTGCGTCAATGTGGCGAGCGTGAATTCGGCCATGGCGGGGGTGTCGGGCGAGCTCAGCGAAAGCCTCGGTCGTGGCCGTGCGTGCTTACGAGAGAGCACTACGAGCGGCGGTGCTGTGTCGCTGAGAGACATCTACCCCCCCCAAAAATTGAGATAGTGGGGAAGCGAAGGTGTGGGTGCGGTCCGAGAGGAGATCGTAGGCTCTGAATACCAAGTGTTACGAGTGCAATTGAGTGAACGAACGAGAATTGCACTATCGAAGCAAGAGTACAATGAGCGAATAATATATAGCGAACTACAGTGGTAACGGTAATGGACTGTGGTTGTCGCGCGACGGGCCTGGGACTGAGGTTGGGAAAAAGTGTCGAAGCGGAGGCCCGGAGCGCGGGTTACCCGCCGAGCCGTGAGGTCGGGGTGCGATGTGCGAAGGTGGCGGGCGGATTGTCGATGCGAGGGTTGCGAGTGGTAACGGTGCTGACTGTGGTGCTACAGTGATGTACGCGTTGAGTAGGGATGCGAAGTAAGGAAAAGGAATTTTCCTTACAGACGAAGTAAAAATCCTCGTCTTGAAAATAAGATGAAAGCCAAAATCAAGGTCTGAAAATCAGACCATCAGACCAATTTGGTCTGATAACGAGAGCCCTGCCCACAACCCTGTTTCAAACCGACTCGATTGGGCGCAATGACGCGAACTACATTTCGTGCTAGTAATTTAAACTTGTATATTTGTTATTCTATAAGCGCATGCGCTTATATTTTCTACTCAATTATAAGCGCACCCCCCTGAAAAATAATGTTTTATTATAAGCGCAGGTGCGCTTACATTCCGAGTAATACGGTACGAGCATGACTAGCCACATTTCAGCTTTGAAAATCTTCAAACTTGTCAACCCTAGGCGTCCTCAACCTAAAAGCTCACCACCAATCTTTCAGGGTGCAGTCCTACAGGCCAACCTAGTAACCAATTTGTGACACCGCACTCAACCACAACTAACCTTACAGCCTTGCATTCATCTCAAGCAATTCCATATGGATCAGACATGAAGGACTCGACTCGAAAGCCATTTTTTCAGTAGGCACCCTCACTGTTCCAGCATTCCAACAAGCCATCGAATCTGCTCACACCATAAGGCTTGAAACATTGCAACAGTGGAAGCCTTATCCATTTACCGGTTGAATGAGCTTGCAGCTGCCTGCAAAACATCCTCATAAACTCCTCCCGGCACAGTGTTAGCGCTGTCCAGTAAAACGCTACTGCCCAACAAGATGTTATTGCTGCCCTGAAACGCCTGATTGCTACCCGACAAGGCGTTATCGCTGCCCGCAAGGTGGTGTCATCTGGAGGTTGCAAAGAAAGACTTGAGCACGAGGCGCTCCATGGCGTCTGCCTCCCAGTGGTAGGACGAGAGCGTGTGCAGGCACTCACTGCACAGGACGAGGAAGTGGGTGGGAGAGTGTGGGTAAGGGAAGGGAGGGTGCGTTGGTTTCAGTGCACGCACAGAAAGAGTGCTTGAGCACGAGCCGCTCCATAGCGTCTGCCTTCCAGTGATCGGAGGAGCGTGAGTGCAGACACTCACTGCACAGAGGGGGGGGATGGGCAGAGTCCATGAGGTGGGAGTATGTATGGGGTAAGGGGTGGAGGTAGGTTTGGAGAAGTGCTTGAGGTTCCTGATGGCGCCTGCCTTCCAGTGGTAGGAGGAGAGCGGGTGCAGGCACTCACTGCAGAGGCAGGAAGTGGAGAGAGCATGGGGTAAGGGAGGGTGCTTTAGCCTCAGGTGATCTCACTGCCCCGGGGTGGGATCTTGATCACGAGCTGCCTTCATGGCGTCTGCCTTTCAGTGGTAGGAGAGCGTGTGCAGGCACTCACTGCATAACGGGGGTGGCATAGGGTGAGAGTGTGGGTTGAAGGGGTGGAGGTAGGCTTGGAGGAGTGCATGAGGATTGTAGCGGCGCCTGCCTCCGTGTGGTACAAAAATGAGCGTGCTCAGGCACTCTCTGCACAGAGGGGAAATGGGGAGAGTGTGGGGTAAGGGAGGGTTTAGGGTTTAAGGTAAGTCAAAACTACTCAGTGCACGCTCCTGTAACACCGTGTGGTGTGGCACGCTCCGTGTGGCACAGGAGAGTGTGGGGTAAGGGACGGTGAGTATTAGGGAACGAGTAGATCCACGGCGCCTGCCTCCCAGTGGCACGAAAGGAGCGTGCTCAGGTAACTCACTGCATAGCGCGGGGTTATGGGGTGAGAGTGTGGGGTAAAGGGGGAGGTAGGTCTGGAAGAGTGCTTGGGGTTCCAGATGGCATGTGACCCCAGTGGTAGGAGCGGAGCGTGCTCAGGTGCTCCCCAGCACAGATGACCTGTGTGGCTGTGCCACGTGGGCACACGGCGGGGAGAAGGCGGTGCAAGGAAGGAAGGAGGTAGGGTGTGACAGGTCACCTGTGTGGCTGCGCCATCCCACCTGTGTGGCTGCGCCATCCCACCTGTGTGGCTCGAGAAACTCCTCGTAGAGGTGCTTGAGATGTGCTGCCTACTCCTCTACTGCAGCCTCGACCCTTCCCCACTTGAAACCCTCATCTGTCCAGCTGCCGCACTGCAGCAATGCAGCACCCCACCAGTGCAGCTGCAGCACACGCAACTCGGGGGTTCAAGGAACTTCTCGTAGATGTGCGTGAGGTGCGCCGCCCACTTGAGCACCCTACTGCGCATCTAGAGGAGGTACCTCAAAACTGGTCTGCACCTGCAGCAGCATACACGCAAACACACACGCACCTGTGGGGTTCCAGGAACTCCTCGTAGAGGTGCTTGAGGTGCGCCGCCCACTCGTGCACCTTACCGCATATCTATCAGGGGTACCTGTGCCCTGCCGTTACACGTATCACCAGCACACCTGTGGGGTTCCAGGAACTCCTCGTAGAGGTGCTTGAGGTGTGCCGCCCACTCGTGCACCGTGGTCTTGCGCCACGCGCCGTCGCAGATCACCCAGTCCTTCTGCTCCAACGCCAGGTCCTCAAAGGCTATGTTAAAGCGGTGCAGGCTGCAGGAGGGGAAGGTGTGAGGCGGGGTTTTGGGGAAAAGGGGCGAGGAGAGGGTCTTGCATGCATCACACACGCCGTCGCAGATCACCCAGTCGTGCTGGAGGCCTCTTGAAGTGATATTGAATTGAAACTCACACGGCCGCATCCTTACTTGGTTGATTCAATCTCACCGCCTGTTGACTTGATTGACTCAGACTCGCTGCCTGTTAGACTTGATTGACTCAGACTCGCCGCCTGTTGACTTGATTCGCTCAGGCTCTCTGCCTGTTGACTTGATTGACTCAGACTCACCGCCTGTTGACTTCACTTGGCTCCATGGCAGCACTCCTCCCGCGCCCGCCCAACGATGCCGTCACCTGTAGCAGCAGCAGCAGAGGCAAGCAGACATGCCATGGGAAGTGGGTCAGGTGAGGTGCAGAGGTATGGTGGGTGGCTGAGAGGTGGAGAGGCACGGTGGGTGGCTGAGAGGTGGAGAGGCACGGTGGGTGGCTGAGAGGTGGAGAGGCACGGTGGGTGGCTGAGAGGTGGAGAGGCACGGTGGGTGGCTGAGAGGTGAAGGGACGGAAGAGAGGGCAGGGAAATGGACACTATGGTGCAGTGTGTGCTGTATGGTGAAATGAGTGCAATGTAACAGATTGCTAGACTCGGGATATTGTGACACGTGGCACATTGACACAGACACACTGTACCACATGGCACACTGTAACACATGCCACGCTGTAACACATGCCACGCTGTAACACATGCCACGCTGTAACACATGCCACGCTGTAACACATGCCACGCTGTAACACATGCCACGCTGTAACACATGCCACGCTGTAACACATGCCACGCTATCACACATGCCACGCTGTAACACATGCCACGCTGTAACACATGCCACGCTGTAACACATGCCACGCTGTAACACATGCCACGCTGTAACACATGCCACGCTGTAACAAATGCCACACTGTAACACATGCCACGCTGTAACACATGGCACACCGCCATCTGCTTACCTTCTGCAGCCCGGCCTCTCTGAAGGCCTTTGATTGGGCCTCAAGCAGCTTCTGATTCTCCAGGGGCAGGTGAATCTTTTCACTCAACCTGCCCAAGAGAGCAAAGGTACGGTGAGGGAGCGGAGGGGTGAGGGGTGAGAGTGCGAGCAGGCAAAAATATTACGGAAAAAAACTTCGAATAAGAGGGGAAATATCAAAACAGAGGTGATACGACACACCCACGTACACAGAAAACCTCGTGAGAAAGTGCATCAGCCAATACAAGACAGAAAGCAAAAAAGAACAAAGCGCACCAGACAATACAGGCTAGAAAAGAGCAACAAAGCATACCGGTTGATGTAGAGGATATTGTTGACGAGGAAGAGGGACTTTAGAAGAGGGTTGTTGCACGTGCCAGCCCTGGCCTCCATGTTCCGTACTAATGCGTCAACCACCTGCACGGGGGAGGAGGAAGGGATGGAAGGGGGTCGAGAGCGGTGGATGGGGGTCGAGAGCGGTGGATGGGGGTCGAGAAGCATCTCTCAGCAGGTGGTGCACATGCTGGCCCTGGCCTTCATGTCACATACCAACACATCAACCACCTGCATGAGAGAAGGGGGGACCAAGGGCGGTGGAAGGGGTTCGAGAGCAATGGAGGGGGATCAAGAGCAATGGAGGTGTGGTGGACAGCGGGCTGGAGGGGTTTGAGGGAAGGGGGTTGTACAATGCTCATACAACGGGACGAGATCTTTGGTGTGGTAAGGATGCGATAGAAGCATGTATGAGCAGAGGGTTGCCTTTTGAGTTGAGTCAAAAGGCATTCGATGGTGGCATGTATGAGCAGAGGGTCCTTGCACGTGTGCTTTGAGAAGAGCGCTGCTTCTGCTGCCTGTGCTTTCGCGCTGCACAGAATGCAGTGCAGAGATAGATACAACCTTTCTGGAGGATGAAAACACACTAGTACATGCCAAACATCCTCACGTGCTCTGCTGCTACCTTGTATGCCCCACGCCTTTCACTCACTCCCCCCCCGCCCCCCCCCTGCCCCCCACCTTCATCGTTCCCTCCTCCGTACTCCACACCTCTACTACCTCTTAGTCTTCTTCCCTCTCCCCCCTTTCTCCCCCCACCCCCCCCCTGCCCCTCACCTTCATCGTTTCCTCCTCCATACTCCTCCCCTGCCCATGCATCTCCAGCAGCTTCTCCAGCATCGTGCCGTACCCATACGCCCGCGATGACGTGGCACTCCTGTGAAGGGCATGGGATGCAGGCACGCGAAGGGGGGGCATGCTTGATATGACAGCACTCTGCCGTGCGACTGCTTGCAGCAGCCCTTCCACTGGAGAGTCTCCAGCATCGTGCCGTACCCGTACGCCCGCGATGACGTCGCACTCCTGTGAGGGGCAAGGGCATGGGGTGCATGCACGGAAGGAGTGATATGCTTAATTCGATAAGGTGTGGTGTGGTGTGGTGTGGAGTGGTGAGTGTCTCCAGCAGCTTCTCCAGCATCCGTATCCGTGTGCCGTACCCATACGCCCGTGATGACGTCGCACTGCTGTGATGTGAGGGTGTAGCGAGAGGTGGGTAGGATACCATTCGCCCACAATGAGCCAATGCGTGGGTGGGTGGGTGGGTGGGTGGGTGGGTGGGTGGGTGGGTGGGTGGGTGGGTGGGTGGGTGGGTGGGAGGGTGCATGCCACATGCCATACGCACACATCCACCTGCCCAGCTAGGAGACAAACTAGTTAACCACGTAGCTGCTCACTGCGCGCACGCCCCCAGTGCAGTGTGAGAAAGCACGTGCGGGGGACACGAGGCAAATGTGTGTGGGTCTAGTCTAGGTGCGTGCAGCACCCACCTGCGCAGGCAGATGGCGACGAGGGAAGCTGTACGCATGCCCTACAGCGCATGCCAGCACACACCCCCACCTGCGCTTACATCGCATGCCAGCACACACCCCCACCTGCGCTTACATCGCATGCCAGCACACACCCCCACCTGCGCTTACATCGCATGCCCTACACGCAGCTGTGGTGAGTGCTACTAGCAGCAGAGTCGGCATCGTTTTGAGACGTCTCAAAACACTTCTTCATACACGGAGTCGGCATCGTGCTGTACCTACCCCATACTAAACACATGCACATGCCCAGTAGGTGGCATCATGGCGATGTAGCTGGTGAGAGCATGCACGCCCCAATTGCAGAGTGACAAAGCACATGCGGGGGGCATGAGGCACGCCTTTGGGACTCGGTGCGTACAGCACGCACCTGCCCAGGTACGTGGCGACGTGATTGACCTCATAGCTGGTCACATCGCAGTGTGCACGCGCCCACTGGAAGGTGAACATAAGGTGCGTGTGTGGGTCTAGGTGCGTGCAGCATGCACCTGCCCACACACACACACCTGCCCAGGTACGTGGCGACGTGATTGACCTCGTAGCTGGTCACATCGCAGTGTGCACACGCCCACTGCCACGTGGCAATGCACGTGCGCGGGACATGAGGCACACATGAGCGGGACAAGTCTAGGTGCATGCAGCACGCACCTGCCCAGGTAGGTGGCAATGTAGTTGATGACATAGCTGGTGACGGCATGCACGCTTCCACTCTTCTCCACGCCCCATCCCGGTGGGTACCCGCTCCCTCCCCCGCCCTCCTTGGCGCTGCTGCTGCCCTCTCCTCGGAACAACCGCCTGCATGCCACAGCACGGCAAGGCACAACACGGCACGGCACGGCATGGCACGGCACGGCACGGCACGGCACGGCACGGCACGGCACGGCACGGCGCGGCACGGCACGGCATGGCACGGCACGGAACAGCACAGCACAGTACAGCATATCATAGCACAGCACAGCACAGCACCGCACAGCACAGCACAGCACAGCACAGCACAGCACAGCACAGCACAGCACAGCACCGCACAGCACAGCACAGCACAGCACAAAAGACACGGAGTATGGGATATGATGCAATGCACAAGGCACACACAGAGGTCACACCCAGTCAGCCTCCCCTATTGTTCTTCCTTGCTGCTCTCAACCATCCCCATAGTTGTGACTCCTCCCGGCCACGCCCGTGCGACTCACTCTTGCACGGCAGCTCTCACCACTTGCTTTCAGACCCCTCCTCTCAACTGCCTCTCTTCCCCCCTCTCAAAAAGAAACAACTCCCTCCCTGCCTCCTTTCCTCAACACGTACCACTTGTTTCTGCGCGGCTGCTCCACAGGCAACTGCAGCATGGCAGTACTGCTGTCATGCTGCAGTTGCCACCAAAGGTGCGCAGCACTGCTGTCTTCATACTTTCCCCTCCCTCTTCCTCCCCTCCTCTCAACCACTAGTTTCCATCGCACGTACCACTTGTTCCGCCGGGGCTGCTCCACGGGCACCTGCAGCGTGGCAGTGAGAGCATCAAACGTGCCCAGCACCGCCTTCGCCACGCCGCGTGTCAGCCCCCGCCACTCCGCCAGCAGCCCTTCACTATCGGACCAGCACACCAGCCGCTCCACCTGCCAGCCACACACAGGGGGGAAAGAGGGGTTGAGCAGGATTGACTCTCACTCGCTTTGAACAGCAGACTCTCACTGCTTTGAGACGTCCCAAAACTCATTTTGGACAGCAGACTCTCGCTGCTTTGAGACGTCCCAAAACTCGCTTTGGACAGCAGACTCTCGCTGCCCCACCATCACATCGTTCCACTTCATGGTGAGAAGGGGACGGAGGGAGTCAAATGGACTCAAGTCCACAGCCCCAACTTAAACCCAGAAACCCAGATCTTAGCCCACCCCCCACCCACAACCCACAAGCCCTCAGCATGACCTGCCCACTCTCCCCACCTGGGGCATGAGCTTTTTTACAGCAACGGCCATGTCGAGCAGCAGGAAGAGCCTCTCAAGTTTCGAGGCGCCACCAAACTCAACCCAGCAGCACCATCAAACCCCCAAGCCAATCGCACTCCCCACCTGAGGCATGAGTTCTTCTACAGTAGCAGCCATGTCGAGAAGCAGGAAAAGCCTTTCTGGTGTGGCCTGGGCAGCCGTGAGCGTGTTGGCATTGTGCATCAGCGTTGACAGCGTGCGCGGCATCCCTGCCTGCCGCAATATCTTGAGGGAGATCGCCCTCCCTGAGTCTGCCGCAGCCTCGTCGCCGAGCCTCAAGGTCCGGGTGCTCCCGGACCTCCCGGACTTGCTGGCTGTGGTTCGGATGCTGGAGGATCGGTGGCTGGGGAGGCGAGGGTTGGAAAAGGCTGTGTTGGTGGCTGTGGTGGAGGAGGTGGAGGAAGGGGTTTGCAGGAGTTGGGAGGGTTCCCGGCGGCTGGTAGTGCGGTTCTGTGCGGTGGAGTGCAGTATGCCGAAGATGGAAGTGGCGAGGGAGAATTCCTCCTCCATTATCGTGCGCAGCTGGGGAGGGGCAGAGAAGGCGAGAGAAAGTGAGGAGAGGCGTTGGGCAGAGGAGAGAGTGAGGGGAGGGACGGTGGTTGTGTTGTGAGCATGAGAGAGGAGGAGCATGGTGAAGATGGAGTGAGAATCTTAGCTTGGTGAAGATGGAGTGAGCATCTTAGCATGGTGAAGATGGAGTGAGCATCTTAGCATGGTGAAGATGGAGTGAGCATCTTAGCATGGACCACCACAACGCCTCACCGCACCCCTCACCAGCAGCACTCCTCCCTAGCAGCACAGCACCCGTCCTCACCAGCAGGCGGCAGTCGCGCAGCCAGTCGGTCATGGTGTGCTGCAGTCGCAGCTGCCCTAGCCACCACCACAGCCCTCACCTCACCAGCAGAACCCCTCACCACCACAGCCCTCACCAGCAGCACCCCTCACCACCACCCCTCCCCACCAGCAGCACCCCTCACCACCACCCCTCCCCACCAGCAGCACCCCTCACCACCACCCCTCCCCACCAGCAGCACCCCTCACCACCACCCCTCCCCACCAGCAGCACCCCTCACCACCACCCCTCCCCACCAGCAGCACCCCTCACCACCACCCCTCCCCACCAGCAGCACCCCTCACCACCACCCCTCCCCACCAGCAGCACCCCTCACCACCACCCCTCCCCACCAGCAGCACCCCTCACCACCACCCCTCCCCACCAGCAGCACCCCTCACCACCACCCCTCCCCACCAGCAGCACCCCTCACCACCACCCCTCCCCACCAGCAGCACCCCTCACCACCACCCCTCCCCACCAGCAGCACCCCTCACCACCATCCCTCCCCACCAGCAGCACCCCTCACCACCACCCCTCCCCACCAGCAGCACCCCTCACCACCACCCCTCCCCACCAGCAGCACCCCTCACCACCACCCCTCCCCACCAGCAGCACCCCTCACCACCACCCCTCCCCACCAGCAGCACCCCTCACCACCACCCCTCCCCACCAGCAGCACCCCTCACCACCACCCCTCCCCACCAGCAGCACCCCTCACCACCACCCCTCCCCACCAGCAGCACCCCTCACCACCACCCCTCCCCACCAGCAGCACCCCTCACCACCACCCCTCCCCACCAGCAGCACCCCTCACCACCACCCCTCCCCACCAGCAGCACCCCTCACCACCACCCCTCCCCACCAGCAGCACCCCTCACCACCACCCCTCCCCACCAGCAGCACCCCTCACCACCACCCCTCCCCACCAGCAGCACCCCTCACCACCACCCCTCCCCACCAGCAGCACACCCACTCACCAGCAGGCGGCAGTCTCTAAGCCAGTCCGTCATGATGTGCTGCAGCTGCTGCCACGGCAGCTGGTTCACGTGCGCCGTACCCCTTATAGGCTCCACCTCTAATGCCTTTATTGTCTCCCGCACACAGTCCTCCCTCACTGACCTGATACCGTGGGGAAGAAGGGAGGGAGGTGAACAGGGGAATGGGAGAGGGGAGGAAACCTCAGATGCTTGGGTAGGAAGCGAGAAATGGTGGAGGGGAGGAGAAAGGCGAGAGAAAGAGCCGGGGGACTAGGGGAGAGGGGGGAGGGAGAGGGGGAGGGAGAGGGGGAGGGAGAGGGGGAGGGAGAGGGCGAGGTGAATGTTACAAGCAGTACTTGATCCACATGACACTCTGTGCCACATAGCTTCGCTTTCTACACACTTGCCATTGCTGAACAATCCACCAATTTGCCACCACACACTTACCTAGCACACACACACACACACACACACACACACACACACACACACACACACACACACACACACACACACACACACACAATGGGTCGCCTCAACTCCACTGCACATGCTTCCTTCCCATGACAAGCACGCATGCATGCATGCATGGGAAGATTACTCCACCGACTGCAACGAGGCACTCCCATCTACAACGCCCATCACACACACTGGGGTACCCCACACCAGCAACCCCAACCACCAGCAGCCCCACCCCGCCCACCTGTAAATGTCAAAGCAGCGGTCGAAGTGGCCTGCTCTAGCCAGCACCTGCACCACCTGCCGCAGCCCCACCGCTGCCTTGTCCGCCCCCGCCCACTTGGTGGGCCTCCTCATCACCCTCCCCTCCCTCTCCCTCCCCTTCCCCCTCCCACTCCCCCCGCCGCCCCCACTACCACTCCTGTGAATACTGTTCCCTGTCCCACTCCCAGTCGCAGAAACAGAATCACCAACCAACGACCCCGTCCCATCACCAGCACCCGCAGCACCACCACCAGCAACACCACTGACACCGGCACCAGAAGCGCCATGCCTGTCAGCATGGGCAGGCGAGGGGAAGGGGGCGGAGTGCCTTCCCCCATCCTCCCCGCCTTCCCTTGCAGACCCCCCACCCCCCTTGTGCGCGTGCCCCTTGGGCTTAGCAGTGGCGGTAGGGAGCGGGCCAGACTTGGAGGAGAGGGTGGTGACGGCAGGGGCAGGGGAGGCGGAGGTGGAAGGGGAGGAGGCGGGGGGCGCGTGGGCGGGAACCTGATGGGCGGAGGAGGAGGCGCGGGACGAGTGGGCTGCTGCTGCTGCTGCCGCCTCGTGTAGCTCTGCTGTGTCTAGCGGCTGGCTGTAGTGGGTACAGGGGGGGAGAGGGTGGGAAAAGGGAGGTGTTGGATACATTTAAGGATTATCTGGAATCTCTCACAAGGGCCATTTCTGCTGCTGCTGCTGCTGCCGCCTCATGCAGCTCTGCTGTGTCCAAGGGCTGGCTGTAGTGGGAAGGAAAGGGGGTGGAGGAGGGGGGCAGGTGTTGGGGGCGGCCCTCAAGTCGCCAAGCAGCTGCTGCACCCCGCGCTCCCACAACCCCCTTTGGGTCGAATCAAAGGCATGCACGCGCGCAGGCACAGGCGCGGGCATAGGAGAGGTACCTGCAGGCGAGCAGAGCAGCCCTGAAGTCGTCCAGCAGCTGCTGCACGCCGCGCGCACACAGCCCCACCAACGCCTCCACCGCCTCCCACACCTCCCCCCCTCCTTCAAGGGACTTGTGAGTCAACTCACAAGCCACCCACCTCGCTCCAATGCCACACACCGTACCTGCAGGCCAGCAGCGCGGCCCTGAAGTCATCCAGCAGCTGCTGCACCCCCCGTGCACACAGCCCCTCCAGTGCCTCCACCGCCTCCCACACCTCCCCCTCGCCCTCCCCCGCTCCCCTGCCCGAGCCGCCCGGCCCCCCTGCACACGACCCCAGAAGGTTCTGTCCAGCTTCCCGCTGCACGAGCAGCAGCTTCTCCAGCACCTCCAGGTACCGTGCCAGCGCCCACCGCGGCCCACAGTCGATCACTGGCTCCGCCTGAGGGATTGGGAAGCGCGGATAACGCGTTTGGGGGGGATGCAAAGACGGTTCCAATGGGTTCTCTCAAGGTACCGTGCCAGCGCCCACCGTGGCCCACAGTCGATCACTTGCTCCGCCTGAGGGGTTGAGAACGGGGGGGAAGTGGGGATATGCAATGCGGTGCAGATGGGTTCTCGAGGTACCGCATTAGAACCCACCGCGGCCCACAGTCAATCACTGGCTCCGCCTGAGAGGGGCGGAGGGGAGGTGGAAAGGACGAGGGGGAGGGGGGGGAGTAGGTTTCTGTATGGACTACTATTCAGGCACCTCACGACGGGCAGCAGCTTCTCCAGCACCTCGCGGTAGCGTGCCAGCGCCCACCGCGGCCCACAATCAATCACTGGTTGGCTCCGCCTGCAAGGGGGGCGAAAGGGGAAGAGTGGGGGGGATGGGGCGTTTGCAAGCATCACCCTCAACAAACTTGCCCCCCCTCCTCCCCCCCTCTTCGCATAACTACCCTCCAGCCCTCCCCCTTCCCCTCCTCTCCCCTCCTCTCCCTTCCCTTCCCCTCCCCTGCCCTCACTCACCTCGGCCACGACGCTCTTGACGGCCTGCAGGCTGTCCTCGCGCGTGCTGTTCCACCGACTCACCGTGCGCGGACTCACCTGCACGGGTGGGGTGTGGGGAGAGGAGGGGGGAGAAGGGAGAGAGGTGGAGGGGCAGGGCACGCAGAGGGATGTGCCGGTGAGAATCTGAACACAGCGCACGGCAGCGCGCGGATCACGTGCATAGGGTGGACGGAAGCGATGCAGCAGCAGGCAGGCGGTCGTGCCATGAAGAATGCTGGTGTGACTGTGCTGTGATCGGTGCTGGTGGGACTCGCCTCCAGAGGGTGGGATCGGGGGAGGAGAGATAGAGGGACAGGCAGAGAAGTGTGGACATTGAGATGCAGTGATAAGAGCACCAGTGATAAGAGCACCAGTGATAAGAGCACCAGTAATAAGAGCACTCTGTGATAAGAGCGCTCTGTGATAAGAGCACTCACATTAGCCCCAGGGAAGCCATAGTCCAGCTCGGCCTGAGCCAGCTCCTCCAGTAGCAGCTCCGTCGGATCCCTCTTCTCCCCCTCCCCCTCCCCCCTCCTCCTCCTCCCAACCCTCCGCTTCCAACCCTTCTCCTGACTCCCCCGTCTCGACGCCACCAATCCCCAACCCCTCAACCTCACCCACTCCCACTCCGCCCACACTTCCCTTCAGCCCCTCCCCCTTCCATTCCCTCTCTCCACCCTCTTCCTCCTCGCCCTTACTCACACCAAGCCCCTCTCCCCCGTCTCCGTCCTCCTCACCAGACAAGTACCCTTCTTTCCTCACAACACCCTCCCCTCTCACAGACCCACCAACTGACCCACCCCGGGGCATGGACACCTTGACTCTCCTAGGCTCGTCCAGGGACGCATCTCGGCGCATGGACGGCTCAGATGGCACGCTCTCACTGTACGCCCGGGAGGAGGAGCCTCGGCTGTAGCTGTGAGACAGGTCGCGGGACGAATCACGAGCCAACGCCCGCCCCACGGCCACCTCTCCCTCCTCTCCATCCTCGCCCTCCTCGCTGTCCCCCTCTCTTGACTTGAAGCTTGTCTCCCGGCTCCTGTCTGCCACTCCACTGGACCTGCCCCTGCCACCTCTGCCCCTCTCATCGCCTTCCCCCTCGTCAGAGTCACTATGGCTGTAGTCACTGTCACTATAGTCCGACCCATCTTCATCCCTCCTCCCCCTGCTGCTGCTACCTCGCCCCCTCCCTGACCCCTTTCTAGGGCTACTACTCCTACGGTCTGCCCCCTTCCTGCTTGTCTCCCTGTCCGCGCCCTCCCTGTACCCCTCACTGCCTGACGATCTATCCTCGCTCCTGTCGTACTCACTAGAAGTATAACCCTCATCCTCGTCATCATACTTGTCATCATCATTATACGTTTTCTTCTTGTGCCTCTGCTCCTCCCCATCATCGTAATCGTCATCATAATCCTCATCACTAACATACGACGAACCAGTGTCACTATCACTGTGCCTGTCCCTCCTCTCCTCCCCCCTCCTCCTCCTCCTCTCTCCAACCCCATCCCCTGTATCTCTTCCACCTGCCCCTCTCGACCTCCCACCAACCTCCTCCTCCTCCTCCCTCTCACTCTCACTCGCCCCACTCCTCTCCCCTTCCTCTGATAGATCCCTAGAAAACCGGCTCTTCCTCCTCTCTCCCTCCTTCTCTCCACCTCTTCCCCTCCCCTTCCCTCCCACACTCCCCAGCCCAACCTTGTCCACCGCCGTCCCACCCACACCCTCCTCCCCTTCCTCGTCCTCCTCGTCCTCCTCCTCCTCGTGCGGCCCATAAGCCCGGCCGTGCTCCCCCTCGTCTTCCCCTTCCGTCCCCCACTCATCGCCCTCGACTGCCTGGCAGGTGGACGCCCGAGGCCCCACTGGCCCCTGTAGCGCCTCCTGCTCCGCCTGCCGCTTGCGCTGGAGCGGGGGAAGAGGGGGGGAGAGGGGGAGGGAGGGATGGGGAGAAAGGGAGGAGCTCGTATTGGAGGCCCCACTGGCCCCTGTAGCGCCTCCTGCTCCGCCTGCCGCTTGCACTGGGATTTCACCGGGGGGAGTCAGGGGTCAAGGAGAAGAGAGGGAGCGTGTGGGGTGGGGTTGAAGAAAGTTGGGTGGGGGTAGAGAGATAATTTGGGAATGGCGGGATGGGGAGGGAACGAGGGGCTCTTTTTGTGAGCAGGGTTTGGGAAGTCAAGGAGAAGATTTGGCTTTAAAAAATACTAAAACCAAAAGGTTTGCTCAGGGTTTGAGGAGCAAGGGGTTATGGCGAATGGTGGGAAGGGGAGGGTGGGGGGAATACGAGGGGTGGCGGGGAGAGAGGGATGGGGAGCTGCAGAGGGGGTGGGCGAATGGATAGACAGGTTGGGGGAGAGGAGACATGGGCGCGGGTGGTGGTAACATGGAATGAGGGTGAGGAACAGAGAAGCTACTGAAAATTAAGGAAAACAAAAAAAGCTCTGGAAAATGTAGGGTGCCTACCTTCCACTCAGTGACCCGGCGCCGGATGGCAAGATTTGTCTTCATGTCCTTCACCTTGAGAGGCTGGCGCAGGGAGAGTAAGTGGGTGGGTGGGTGGAGGGAAGGTGGGAAGAGTGCAAAGACAAGGGTGAAGGGTTTAAACATGAGAGGAGGAAGCCTGAAAGGGATGGTTGAAGAGCAGAGACAAACAGAGGGAGTGTGGAGTCTGAGCATAATACGGGAGGGCAAAAGCAACGAGGAACGGCAAAAGAACAAAAGGAAAACCTTTCAAATCAAAGAGGTGAAACGGCCAGATTTAACGAGGTAACCCACCCACCTGATTGGTGACCAACCCACCTGATAGGTAACCCACCTGATAGGTAACCCACCCACCTGATAGGTAACTCACCCACCTGATAGGTAACTCACCCACCTGATAGGTAACCCACCCACCTAGATAACCCACCCACCTGGGTGGTAACCCACCCACCTGGTTGGTAACCCACCCACCTGGTTGGTAACCCACCCACCTGGTTTGTAACCCACCCACCTGGTTTGTAACCCACCCACCTGGTTGGTAACAGGGCATCTGAGTTCGCAGTGGTCCCAGAACGTCTTGACCTGGGCGCGCTCACAGCACACGGCCGTCTCAGGCAGCTCCACCGGGTCCTCCATCATCCTGCCTGTCAGCGGGCAGATGCACTCCACCGGCACGCCCTCCCCCCGCGCGCTCATGATCTCCTCCTCCCGCTGCCGCTGCAGCACCTCCATGCGCTTCTCCACCTGCGCTGCGAATTTCGGCCCCTGCTCCGCCGCCTTGTGGTACCAGTACAGCGCCGCTACAGGACACTCTGTCACGCCGAATCCCCGCTCAAAGCACAGCCCCAGCTTGACTAAGTACTTGCCGCTGCCGAAGCTCGCCGCCCGGAAGAACCACCGGAAGGACTCCTCTTCGTCTCTCTCAACGCCCGCGCCTGCCTCGTAGCACTCTGCTAGAGCGTACTGTGCGCGCGCCAATCCCTGCTCTGCCGCCTTTCGGAACCAGTACGCGGCGAGGGACTTATCCTGCTTCACGCCAAAGCCCCCTCCGTAGCACACTGCCACGTCATACTGCGCAGCTGCCCTCCCCTCGCCCGCCTTGCGCAGATACTCAAGAAAAACGTCTCCCTCGCTGCTCAGACGGCCCTCCGCGGGGATGGCGGGCACCCCTGGGGGGCTGAGAGGCGGCTCCCACCCCGCTTTCCCCGCCTGCGCTACAGCCGCCGCGTCTGCCACCGCAATTGCCGCGGCTGCTGCTTCGGCAGCCGCCACCGAGCCTAACCGCGTCACACCTTTGAACCTAGGTTCGGCCGAGGCGTCGGTTCGCTTGCCAGGGAGAGTGAGGTTGGCCTCTCGGGAATACCCGCCTTCCGTAGCACCATCGCCGCCTGTGCTGCCTGCTGCGAATGTGTGCCTACCTACCCCCTCTAGCCTCCCTCCGCCCGCGCCAGGCGCGCCCGCCCCCCCCGCCTCCCGTTTGCGCGCGCTGGACGGGGAACGGGGGGACCCCGCGCCCGCCGGAAGCACAGCCGTCACCGTCGCCGTGAAACCCGCTGCCGCCGCGCCACTGCCTACGTCCGCCGCGCTGCCGCCGCCGCCGTCGCCGCCGCCAGCGCCGCTGCTGCTGCTGGTGGAACCCACTCCGTGCGACGCGTCTATGGAGCCGCCTCTTGGTCGAATTCGAATCACCACCTGCTTTCCCGCTAGGGTTGTTCCCCCGCTTCTACCCACGGATCCGCCGGCCATGACTCCGCGTATCACCGTCACCCCCGTGCTGCTGCTGCTGCTGCTACTCCCCGCTCCGCCAAACCCTCCGCCAAACCCGCCGCCGCCGCCGCTCATGGTGCTGCTGGTGCTGCTCGCAGTGCTAGGACGATTTGACGGGTCAGATCCTCCGCCTGCGCCGCCTAATCCTCCGCCGGCCCCTCCGCTCCATCCCGCGCCCCCGCCCGGCAGAACCCCGGGGGAGCCAATAGACGTGGGGGAGGTACTCGCGCCGTCGTCCGACGACCCCGCTTGCCGCTCCCTCAGCGCCGCCGCGCCCCTCAATATCCCCGCGCGCAAGCTGCGCTCGCGGCCTTCCTCCTCCTCCCCCTCCTCGTCTTCCCCGTACACGCACTCCTCATTCCCCCTCCCCGGCGCGCCGTAACCCCCGCGCATGCCGAACGCGGCAGCAGCGAGCGGGCTAAGCGCTCTAGGGCTCCTGACCTGTCTCGGACTAAGAGGCTTTTTCAACGCAATGTCGCCGCCGTGAGGACTAAGCTGCGAGTGATGGTACGGCGGCTGCGGCGGCTGATAAGGGACCTGATAAGGGACCTGATAAGAAGCCTGATAAGGGGCCTGATGAGGGGCCTGATAAGGGTTTGCGGGATAACCGGATGACGGACCGGTTTGTCGGCCTTCCACGGGTCGGTCAACCATTGGTCGACCTGACGTCGAGTCGTCTCCGGTATACCCATCGTCGTCGCTCACACTGCGGCCACGTGGCACGCCCGCTGCTGCCGAAAGCGGTCGCGGATTGTAAAAATCGGGAGGGACGTCCGTGCTGTACGAACGAACCGCGGCGATACCGGGAGATGCGGATAACGGCCTTCGTTCGTACGACTGCCGTTGATCGAACGACGCACGGTGATCGTACGGCGGTCGGTGATCGTACGACGGCCGCTGCTCGTACGATGGCCGCTGCTCGTACGATGGCCGCTGCTCGTACGACGGTCGCTGCTCGTAGGACGAACTGGCTGTCGCACGCGGTCGAGCGCTCAGGCCCGGCCGAGGCGGTTGCTGCTGCTGCTGCAGCTGCTGGTGCTGCCGCTGGCCGTACGGCACCGGCGCTGGCGGCATTCGCAGCGGCGGCTCCTGCCATTGCTGCTGACCCTGCTGCTGCTGCTGCCGCTGTTGCTGCTGTTGCTGCTGTTGCTGCTCCCAGTATACCAGCTGCTGCGCCGGAGCCTGTTGCGTCTGAGCCTGCTCTGCATGGCCCTGCTGATCCTCGTACGATGGCAGCCGAGCGTGCAGCCCACGAGGCGGCGACAGCTCTGCGCCTAAACGACCGTTGGCTAGCGGCCTACCGTCTTGTGAGGCCCATCGGGAACCTCTATATGGACCACTCATGGCTCACCACGTGCCGTGCATCGGAGTGGCTGTCAAGCAACTCATCAGGTATAGATTAAATAATAATAACCTTAAAGCGGAGATATTAAAGAAACTTTAATAATTAAATCGGTAATGCCCTTACAAGTCCCGCACAGCTCGTTGGCAACCCATGACTACTCCTGCATGATTGGTGTTGGTGATGCCACTTTCTCAACCAAACAGTTTGTGTGGTGGTGTGACCTATTTCCCTGCCAGAGCCTCCATTGAAGCTGTACGTACACGCGCCCGTGTAGTATGTATGGGACGAGACGAGAAGGATGCCCTAGGGGATGGCCACAGCACCGCAGCATGAGCCACAGAAAATTACCATACCACACCAAACCATACTAGAGCCTTCCCAACCTGGTCAAACAAACAAGTGGATTCATAGGTATTGCCATTCCTGACGGTGAAACCAACTTTGTTCCTCCTTGACGGAGCGCTGCCTGCGTGGATGATGGGCGTCAGGAATGACGTGGATTTGCGGAACAGAAGAATCGCTTTGACGGAAGCACCAGCTTGAAGGTCCCACAGAGAAGTTCCGTGGAATTTCGGCAGCACGCAGGTTGGGTGCGCAATACAGAGAACTCGTTTCTACAGTCCTCCATACAGCATGCTGCACCCCGTGGCGCACACTTATTCCAGAACCAGCTAATCCATATTTATTGCTCAGCGAATCCTTTTAAGTAATACTCTAAACAGAGTATTTACTGTTAAATTGGGGTTGAAATTTACCATGTGCTGCATAATCAGGGCGATATTGCAAGGGAAGGCACGTTTGCAAGGGAAGTGTGGCGATCTGAAGTTGATCGTAGCCATGATCACCTCAGGAAGGTTTGCACACTACTAATTTAGTGGTGGTGGGCCCTTGATCTCAATAGCAGAGTGAATGTAAATGTTTGAGATAATGAAAACATGCAAATACAGCACTACAAATAATAGTACAGGGGAATACCAATCGTCCTAGCTGTTGGAAGCAATCGGTCCTAAGCGCCTTTGTCGTGCCGAAACACTAAGGCACAAGCGGAGCAAAGCATATCGAGGCACCAGCAAGTCAACCCTCGGAGGTTGAAGTAGCCGCTGGAGGTTACGCGAAAGTCAAAGGTCAGCGACCTTTGACCTGACAAGTACAGCGCGACAGCAAGGACACACAACTGACTCACTACAGAGCAGTTGCCCGAGTCGTTACTGTATCGAACCGCAACAGCAACAAGTAAAACAGTTATAACCGTATCCTTTCATATTCCTTGTACTCTTATATAATCTTGTATCTCTTTGTTTTAATCAACTTACTTTGCCCTCACATACTAGCGCAAGGTGGTTCACAAGTCTTTATTAACGCTTCCGCTACTACACCAACTCTACACAGAGTTCACCCCTGCAAAAGATCCTAAGGGCCTTTTCAGCCCAACATGGTATGAGAGCAATCATGGGGAATTCAACTTCTATACCGTCAACATCAATCAGCATTGTGAAAATAAGCGGTAGGATTAGGAGCCATAGCTAGGAAAGCCCTAGCTAGGCAAGAGACAGTTTAGGCAAAAAGAGAGGATTGCACTAGCAAGAATGAGGATACACATAGCAAACCCTAGAAGGGTTGTACTCGCTATAGAGCACCCCACTACAAGCTAGAGCATAACATTCTGACACACCCCCATAGCCAAAGTGGGGTGTAATCAGCAAAGCAAGCAAAGCAGAACAAGCTCAGGGTGGATCACAATGTCACCACACATTCTGAGCACAAGTTCAAGAAGCAATAGTTTAAAGTTCACAATTATGAGCAAAGCTAGTGGTAGTCACAACGGGCAAGTGAGGAGGAGGAGGGACAGTGAGAGGAGAGGAGATAGGAGGCGACGGCTGAAGTTGCAGACACACGGGCAACAGGAGGCACACTGGCACAGCGGCTACCGGAACAGCGCTCCGGACTACTGGAGTAACTGGCCCCGCGGCTAAAAGTAGTGGCAGACGAGCAACGGACCCACGGGCGACTGGCACAGGTGGCTACAACTGGGCTACCGGAGCAACTCCCCGGACTACAGGTGCTGCTGGCGACACGACGGCAACCTCCGTTCAACCTCCCCCAAACAGTACCACCCCCCCTGACACACACCCCCTGCTTCACCCCTAGCTCCACTCCCCCTTCACCCCCCCTTAGTACCACTCCAACGGCTCCAACAGGTCCACCCCCCCTCAGCGGCAGCTGCAGCACAGGGAGACGGAGGAGGAGGAGGAGTAGGGAACGGCACACAGAAGCTGCACCCCCATACCCCCCACCCCCAAACCCTAATTCAGGAGAACGGGCAGGAGGAGGGGTGGGGCGCCATCAGAAGCACGGGGGACAGCGGGGAGGGCAGGGACAGCGAGGAACGGGCCGCCCACGGGCCTGGCACAGCCTCCCGAACCGCGCGAAGGCGGCTCGAGCTGCGCGCGGGCCTGGCGCCGCCCGTACGGGCCGCGCGCGGGCCTGGCGCAGCCCGTACGGGCCGCGCGCGGGCCTGGCGCAGTCCGTACGGGCCGCGCGCGGGCCTGGCGCAGCCCGTACGGGCCGCGCGCAGGCCACGACGGGCGACGGGGGGCGACGCGCGGGTCCCCGTCGCCCGTCGCAGCGCCTCCCGGAAGCGACGCGCGGCGTGACGGGGCAGAAACCCGCCGCGCGCCTCGGGGCGCACGGCGGGCAGAAAACCGCCGTGCGCCTCGGGGCGCACGGCGGGCTGAAAACCCTAATTTCGACGCCGCGCACCACGGGGCGCGCGGCGGACAGGGAGTAGCAGTAGCAGCGGAAGCAGTGAGGTGGGGCCCACAGGCCAGGAGCATATCGCTCTAATACCATGTGAAAATAAGCGGTAGGATTAGGAGCCATAGCTAGGAAAGCCTAGCTAGGCAAGAGACAGTTTAGGCAAAAAGAGAGGATTGCACTAGCAAGAATGAGGATACAAATAGCAAACCCTAGAAGGGTTGTACTCGCTATAGAGCACCCCACTACAGGCTAGAGCGTAACATTCTGACAAGCATGGCTACACAAAAGGAAAGGAGCAACTCCAACGGCTCCCAGGGCACTACTCCTACTCCACCTCCTGCCTTTGGCCTACAGACAGAGGAGGGCACGGCAACAAGACCCAGAGCAACATCTACTGAGACTCCCGCGAATCAACCTGCAGACTTCGACCAGAGCATGATGGAGAAGTATTTCTCCTTCATGTCCTTCTACGAGCAACACCAGCAATCGGCACTGTCAAACATTATATATGTTGTGCTTGTTTAGGCTACAGTGGGTTAGCCTATAGGGGGTACACAATTCTAGGGTTAGGTACTTGTACTGATTTCACTGTTAGTTCAATCATTCCTGTTCATTCATTTCAACATGGTATAGAGCAGGTCCTTCCTAGGACCGATTTTTTAGGGCCCACCACTACCTACCTACCTACCTACCTACCTACCTGCGCCCTAGGGCGCCTCGGTTTTCACGGCCCTCTAAGGCCCTGCGACCCGCGACCCACCCCTTAGCGACTCGCGCGCCGCCCCTTAAGGCCCCGTCGGCCCACGCGCTCGCCCTTAGCGGCCCCTTACGGCCCCGCGCTCGCCCCTAGAGGCCCCAATCGGCCCCGCGCTCACCCTTAGCGGCCCCTTACGGCCCCGCGCTCGCCCCTAGAGGCCCCGAACGGCCCCGCGCTCGCCCTTAGCGGCCCCGTATGGCCCCGCGCTCGCCCCTAGAGGCCCTGAACGGCCCCGCGCCTCGCCCTTAGCGGCCCCTTACGGCCCCGCGCTCGCCCCAAGAGGCCCCGATCGGCCCCGCGCTCGCCCTTAGCGGCCCCTTACGGCCCCGCGCTCGCCCCTAGAGGCCCCGAACGCCCCCCCCCCCCCAGAACGAGCCGCCCGACCCGAGCAGCCCGAACCGAGCCACCCTGCCCGAACCGAGCCGCCCGAACCGAGCCGCCCAGCCCGAACCGAGCCGCTCGAACCGAGCCGCCCAGCCCAAAGCGAGCCGCGCCGCCTGAACCTAGCCGCGCCGCCCTTCCCGAGCCGCGCCGCCCTACCTGAACCGAGCCGCGCCACCCGTACTGGACCGAGCCGCCCTACTTGAGTCGCACTGCCTACTGTTTTTGGGGTGCCCCTACTACTATTACTCCTACTACTGCTATGGCTAGCCCTCCTGTACTGGCTTTCGATGCTGAGGGCCGCCCAGTGAAGTTCGAAACTTGGCTAGATGACCTACACCTCTTCCTACAGCTCACTGCCAAGGAGGACATCTCACTGTACGATCACGCCCTAGGCCATGCTCCTGCTTCTACTGCTACTGCTGACAGCACTGCCCGCTCACAGTGGCAGACTCGTGACGCCCACGCTCGCTTCCCTATTCGCAACTCCCTGCCGATAGATGAGCGCGAGCACTTTGGGCAGCACACTGCACAGGCACTGTACACTGCTGTCGTTGCCCGCTACTCCTCACCGGCCTCTGCCGCACTAGGCCGTCTCTCTCTTCCCTACCTGTTCCCCGACTTAGCCTCTTTCCACACAGTCGCTGACCTCATTACACACCTCCGCACTAGTGAGGCTCGCTTCCCGCGCCACCATGCTTGATGAGTTCCTTGCCAAGAACCCACCCCCACTCTGGCTCACTCTCTACCACCTAGTCACCCGCCTCCCTGACACTCTGCGCTCAGTCAGGGACCACTTCCTAGCTCGCTGCCCCACTGAGCTCACCATTGCCC